GTTGAGGGTTATGGCGCGACATGTCTTGTGGAAGCGAATACTATTCTTTGGACTTGATTGACATGTTTACGACGTTTATGATTGACATGTTTTCACCAAGTCAAAGAAAACGAAAAGATATACGTATACCTGAACCGATAGGTATTACCAATCCAGTTAGGTGGAATATTTTCTCCGACATTTCCTTATTTACTGATCGGTCACCAGTATGCTTTTTAAAGCGGTGGGATGCAACAGACGCTGGAACTGGACAATTCTTTTTCCGCCCTCGCCATTCAATACCAAAGGATTGTCGATGTTTTGGACATACCATAAAATTCGCGGCAGCGAATCCCTCAAATATGCCTAAATAAATTGCACATGATTTAATAAAAGAAATCAGAGTGTTATTACATATAAAGAAACTTTACTAACTCACCTGCCCTCAGCAATATCAACTCTTTCTCTGAAGATATTCCCTCTCTACAGAGGTTCAACATTTTTAAATGGCCAGTTACATCGCGTTGGCACGCATTTAGCGATTGAAACTCGCTTACTTCACAGCCTTTTAAGGAAATCGAACCGCACTCAGTCCCGGTCAACGTCCCTATTCCACACTTGTCCATTTGGAAAGTTTTTGCCGGTTTAATTTAGCAAAAATGTTTAACAACAAGCGTTGCAATGCAAGATTGTGTACTTGTTGTGCGATCTATTTTTATGAATGATTTCCCGGTGGGTTTTCCCTGAGCGAAAATTGAATTGTGCGAAATTCAGGCCTGGATAATTTAAATCACACAAATCGAATTAATACTTTTACATATGACTTAGTTATTTTACAGTAATACTTCGATCGGGATGTCACTCCCATGTTCCACCTCCGCAGGTTAAAACATAGATAAGATTTCTCGATAAATACTAATTCTTAGACATTCAATTATAAGAAAAATAACCATGATGAAACAGTGCCCTAATTGCTTCATTGCAAGCTATATTTCTCGCATGTTATATTTTCTCCGCAGGGCGCGATATGATCTTTGTACACTATAATTTCATCGGCCCGGTTGACCTTCCCACGAACAATTGCAAGAAACAAAATAACTACGTTGCTTCAAATCACAATTTAATAGAGCACGGTTTCTAGCAAAAAAACTCGGTGAGAAAAATTACTAACTAAAGGTGGGTGTATAATTTCCTTGAGGCACTAATAACTGAAATTGGAAGCTTTAAATTGCAAATAAAGTCATCTTTAAAATTTTTCAAGAAAAACGAACTCAAAAACTTACTTTCCTCCAACGGGAAGTACGCAGTACGTGTTTGCTAAAACACGGACTGAGTCATGCAGGGCCGGTATATGTGTGATATTGTTTTAATTAAAGCTAGGGCGTTATGATTGACATGATTTTTTCAAAAACATATCATGATCACTTCTAAAATTAAGAAGACAATTATGTATTATTAACTTTTTTTGTTATCATCACTGATTTGTTTGAAATTTTAAGACTCGTCACCAGATCTCTCACGCATGTAGTTGAGATAGCTCTCAAGAAAATTGCGCATTTTAGGGATTCTTCAGGCGTTTTCTTCCAAAAGTAAAAATTGTTGCCCGCGGAGATTTTTATGCTAAAATCTACACTAATCTTAGAACTTTTAAGGAACCTAAACAAATAGCACAAAATCATTTTACTACTCCAGAAATAAACCGTGAAATGAAGCATACTTGCGGATCTTGCAAATATGAGAGAAAATGAGTCACATTTCAACGCAATTTCTTTCAAGAATATATCGCCAACTTCTCCCAAATACATTATTCCTGTAAGCAGTTATGAGTGTTAACAATTTAGAACAATATCATTTACGTTGATGCTTTTGGTGATTTTTGAGCAATTTTTCAATTTTGGCTTTTTTCCGGTACTGACAGGTAAAAAAGGGGTATTAAAGTAAAGGTGCCTCAAATTAAAAATTTTTGTATTAAAAATTTAAAGGTGCCTCAATTTCAAATATAGCTAAATGAAAAGAAAAAACTTTTCGGCGTTTGTAGGTATCAAACATATCGTCAGGAAAATAGGGGCTCACAATGTTTTAGTTCAGTCTTTGAGACCCAGTTGCTTCGCACGTGTTGTGATCAAATTTTTGCCAAGAATCAAAGGCCGAAATGAGAACTTCCTTCATGAAAACCGCTTCGAGAAGGGTCTAGTTTGAAAATTTAGCTATTAATTTCGATTTCATGAGCATATTTTGGTTACACGTTAAGTATTTGTGTGCTTGATGAGATTCAAAATTTGTTGTATATTCAAGCTCGGCTTTTGTGTAATTTTGGTGATGACCGGAACAGAAATAAAGATATTTTAAAAACTGGCCGTGGCCTCACGATAAAACTTTCTACAAATGTTCTCTGTTTCATGTACTTTTATTTGATATCTTAGGTATAAGCGTAAAAATAGGGGCTCATACAGTTTAAGAGGTTGTAAAATGCATGACTTGCCTCTATTTTCATGTAAACATTCGAAATTTTTCGACAGCAAAGTAGCAACTGTTTCAGATCGAATGCACACGGACAGCCCACCAGAGACAATAGGGACCTTAAGCATGCACGACGGTAACACGACGACGACAGCCAAAACAAAATTCTTTAAATAAATCATTGCGAAGAAATGTTGTTATGTTTTGTCCACTGCATGTATATATGAATTGAGTTCAGTTGAAAGAAATTAAAACAAAGGCTTTATGGTTAAAAACGCTTCTGCTGAGCAAATTTGTAGTTTCACTTGTCGCGTCTTGACATGTTTGCGTTGTACACGAGACGTGAAAATCTCTGTTTTGCCGTTGTAAAAAGCCCTAACACCACGTCTCTAACTCCCGTGGGGCTTTTAATTATTCATTTCTTTTGTACGAGATCAGGAATATCATTGTGTGAATAGCCGTCGTCGTCGCGTTACCGTCCTGTCTGCTTAAGGTCCCTAATGGCAGGGTACTGAAATAGAACGTCACTAAAAAATTCTGTACGATTAATTTAGATCATGTCTACTCTTTCAACATAAAACAGTAATTTATTTTGTACAAACATTTGGCAATATTTACACGATTGTGCCTTTTTGTAAACACGCGTTGCGTGTATTCCACGCAACTGCGTGGCTCATTTTACTCGCGCATGCTCAGACAAATTTCCCACCTGTTGTGCGAGTGTTTAAATATTTAGTGCGTGTATTGGTTTATTGTTTATGCGTTCATAATTTTGTCCGCTTCGGACGCCCATAAGTGTGGAATTTGTGGAATGCCAGTTCGAAATTCATGCGAGTGTTCGAATTTCTATTGTGAGTGTTCAAATGTTTAGTGTGAGTGTTCAAATGTTTAGTGCGAGTGTTCAAATGTTTAGTGCGAGTGTTTAAATATTTAGTGCGTGTATTGGTTTATTGTTTATGCGTTCATAATTTTGTCCGCTTCGGACGCCCATAATTGTGGAATTTGTGGAATGCCAGTTCGAAATTCATGCGAGTGTTCGAATTTCTATTGTGAGTGTTCAAATGTTTAGTGTGAGTGTTCAAATGTTTAGTGCGAGTGTTCAAATGTTTAGTGCAAGTGTTTAAATATTTAGTGCGTGTATTGGTTTATTGTTTATGCGTTCATAATTTTGTCCGCTTCGGACGCCCATACCTGGCATTTCGAAAAACAAAACAAATAACGTAAGTGTAAATTCTAAATAAAAACTAGGCATAGTTTTCATGAATTTTATTAAAAAAGACAAAGTTTATTCAATAAAAAACATCTTTCGGCAGCGACATGATTGCATTTTCGAGGATATTTTTTAAAACAATTTATAAAATCAAATTTAATTAAATGCTTGTGTTTTGGCCGCGCGTATTCATCGCGAGGAAAGACTTGGTTCTAACCGGAAATCGCGGCTTCAAACTTCCGGCTGCAGGTAGCGTTCCATATATATATCTTAGTTCAATGGTGGCGACACAAAGAACTCGCGTGTTCATGGGCTGGGTCATTCTTCTGCTCGCTGCTTCGACACAGTCACAAAGAAAGAGTGCAAATGAATAATTACTTTTTCTGAAGTTTATATTAAAGGTAAAAGATCTTTTTCTCAAATAATATTGTAATAATATAAAATGAAGTAATTTACATGACTGACTTGAGTCATTTGACAGAAGTATTATTAAAAATGGTCACTTCGTTGTTTGCACACAACGATTTATAATTGGCCGTTTCAGTTTTTTGTCGACAGTGTATTTTTCAAATATCATTTGGTAAAAGCTGAATGACTGAATCGGCCCGATTTAATAATCGTTGTTTTCAACAACTGTCAAATACAGCAATTTTCGTCCAAGCACAAACCGCAAACATTTTCGCGCGTTTGTTTACGTTTGAAACGGGGCGTTTACCGTTGGAAACGGAAATGTTTCACTGCTCATTCGACGTGTTATAGTGAAAAGCCTAATTACTCGCTGGGGCACAGACGAGTATAGGTTTCGGTATGCATTTGTCACGGATCTCGGATAGTGGATAGTGGATCTCCAATCGTCGATAGCCACAAAATAGAATATTTAGAGAGCTTGTCTGTAAAAATCGCAATAATTCACTATTTTCTGGCAAAGTTCTTCAATTTCCCTCGATTTTATATATATTGTAGACCTATCCAACCCCACATATTTACTGAAGTTTCAGCCATGAAACACAAAATGAATTTCTATTGTGAGTGTTCAAATGTTTAGTGTGAGTGTTCAAATGTTTAGTGCGAGTGTTCAAATGTTTAGTGCGAGTGTTCAAATGTTTAGTGCGAGTGTTTAAATATTTAGTGCGTGTATTGGTTTATTGTTTATGCGTTCATAATTTTGTCCGCTTCGGACGCCCATACCTGGCATTTCGAAAAACAAAACAAATAACGTAAGTGTAAATTCTAAATAAAAACTAGGCATAGTTTTCATGAATTTTATTAAAAAAGACAAAGTTTATTCAATAAAAAACATCTTTCGGCAGCGACATGATTGCATTTTCGAGGATATTTTTTAAAACAATTTATAAAATCAAATTTAATTAAATGCTTGTGTTTTGGCCGCGCGTATTCATCGCGAGGAAAGACTTGGTTCTAACCGGAAATCGCGGCTTCAAACTTCCGGCTGCAGGTAGCGTTCCATATATATATCTTAGTTCAATGGTGGCGACACAAAGAACTCGCGTGTTCATGGGCTGGGTCATTCTTCTGCTCGCTGCTTCGACACAGTCACAAAGAAAGAGTGCAAATGAATAATTACTTTTTCTGAAGTTTATATTAAAGGTAAAAGATCTTTTTCTCAAATAATATTGTAATAATATAAAATGAAGTAATTTACATGACTGACTTGAGTCATTTGACAGAAGTATTATTAAAAATGGTCACTTCGTTGTTTGCACACAACGATTTATAATTGGCCGTTTCAGTTTTTTGTCGACAGTGTATTTTTCAAATATCATTTGGTAAAAGCTGAATGACTGAATCGGCCCGATTTAATAATCGTTGTTTTCAACAACTGTCAAATACAGCAATTTTCGTCCAAGCACAAACCGCAAACATTTTCGCGCGTTTGTTTACGTTTGAAACGGGGCGTTTACCGTTGGAAACGGAAATGTTTCACTGCTCATTCGA